GAATTGCTCTCATATGTCTGGAACCAACATCGCTTGGAGAAAAGAGTATAACATAAAATAACACCAAACCTATGAATAGCATATACCTCTAAGATTTTAGGGCTTTGGAAAGAGGGACAAATTTTGTAATTTTCTTGAACCTTGATAAATATTTAAATTTTTATTTACACAAAAGGAAGTCCAAAGGCTACAACGAAAAAAAACATAATTATTGCCACTGTATTGAATTATAAATTATAAAATTGTGGTATTTTCTAGGTCCAAAACTCACATCCTATAATAAATAAAATTTAAAAAATACCAAAAATTGCATTTATGGCAAATAATGATCCAACAAAAACAGTTCCCTCTGCAGCAGCGTTAATTATTGGTAAATTCATTTCATGTGTGTAATATTCTTCATGGGCTATGATATAGAATGGATAAGTTGGAACACAAATTAATAAGAATGCTAATAATGATTGTCCGCATTATAGACATGTGACGAAATTTGTACCTAAATTACGTCCATAAATTACCTTATATTGCAATGATCATAGAATCAAAATTATGATCCAAAATCATACCCAAAGGAGATGAATTGTCTACAAATACAATTAATTTATTAAATTACGTGTTCTTCTTGCTTATTTTCCATCTAAATTATCAAAATTCTAATTTAGGTAAATTATAATTACCATATAGATCATGTGTAAAATGAACGTTGTCCACAATAACCAATCTGGTATTGTTCCTTAAAAGTTGTCTCCCATCACAAAATAAAATAATATGTGGCAAATTATGATGCAAATCAGTCCCAACAGGGTAAGCGTATTAGGACTTTTTTTTTAAGAATATTCTTTTACGCCACATTTAAAGGCACATACTTCAAACACCAATTAGCAAAAGGTGAGAGGACATAGTTATACAGCAACGATTAATCTGTACCCTTGTATTTGTATGTTTTTAAAAACTTCAAATTTTCTTAGGCAATAAAGTCATAATTTAATAAATTCATATTTTTATTAATAATGTATACAACTCCTCCTTTCTCTCATAATTATTCAAACCCAGTGCTTATGAAAGATGATGTTGGAAAACCAAAACCCTCAACATATAATTTACCAAAATAAGATTTCGTTTATGGCCTTCCACTTATAAGAGATAAAGAAGGAGCAAAAGAAGGTAATTATATACTTTACTAATATATTCCAGTAACAATGACCTGGAAATTTCATCAAGAATCTTAAGATAGAATTCCAAATCGAGATTTTGCTGAACTCAATAAGATGTCTGTTTTTAATGGATCTCTTAATGCTCATGTAACTTAATTGATTTTACTTGAAGGATATGTATAAATTCAGATAAACTCATGATGCTCGATTAAAAGTTAAAAAAGGCACTAACATTTAAGCTATCGAATTACCAGAGGAAGAGTTTAGATATGGAAGAAAAAACAGGTTTATATTATCAACTATATATACTACTTAGACCATCTACTCCTATGAAATTAGTTATGGGTAATTCTTATGGAATAGAAGCTGCATCAATGACTTTGGATAAATATTACAAAAGGGCTGGCTCACAAGTATCATTAATTACCTTTTATCATCTAGGAGTCCAAAATGACAAATACAATCGTCAGACCTAATAAGGCATCATAATTATTTCATGAAAGTAATCACAAAAAATTAGCAGTGATCAAAGGAACAGAAAAAAAAGAACCATTTAAAATGGAAAAATTTAAGACAGTGAGTGCTAGGACAGATACAAACCTCATATCAAAGAAAGAGTGATTATCTTAATTTATTTATTGATGAATTAAATCAAAAAATTATTAATCAAAAATAGAATTACATTTTCACTATTCTAAAACTCTATAAGCATGAGAAGATTTCTCAATTATTCAAATTTAGTTAGAAAACTGTATACAAATATTAAGTAGATTACAATTAATCTAAACAAAACATCAATAACTATTCATATTGTGTGATTAAATTACAAAAATCTGGAACTACTTTAGCTTAATTAAATAGATAGATTTTACAAGAAAAATGTGAATAGAATTATATATGCAAGAAATTGAATAGATGAAATCTAACCTATTTGTAAAAAATATAAAAATACTTTCGTGATATAACTGTGTAATTTGGAGATGCTTTTAACAACTTGCTTAATAATTAATTCTTTGATATTTCTAATCTAACTCCAATAGAAAATATTTGTGAATGGGACTTAAAAAATTAGAAAGTTGAGAAAGTTCAAGAGATAAAACTAGTAAGTATGATCAGAATTAAAGGGCTTTTTAAACTCTAGAAATGGCTCAATTGTTTGAACCTTGAAATTTATAAATGTTGATGAATTATGTATTAAAATTTTCCTTTAAGTAAATAAAAGTATATATGATATTTTGATTTATAATAGGAATCATTCAATATATTATTGATCTCTCAAATAATCTCTTTAATTATAAACGTTTATTCGTATGTTTGTTATTAAATTCAATTTATTCTTCTAATCAAATATCATTTATTGAATAGTTGATTCTAAACCATAAATTTAAATCCAATTTTTGAAACTTTTTTTGAGGAGAGAAAACTTGCTATGTGATTTATTTCCCAAAATTCATGAACCTTTATTTGGTTAGTACTACCAAAATTAATTTGTTTAATAGAATAAAAAACTAATTAGAAATCAATTCATTACATTACTCAAACTTATTTATTCTTTATTAATTGTGTATTATAACAAAATAAACTACATGAAATTGATATTTCTTTGATTTATATTTAATTATTAAAGAATGTTCAAATTCATAAAAGTTTATAATGATCCTTAAATAACATTATAAAATAAACATGCCACAAAAAAGAAAAATGAAATAATTATTTGAATTTTATTAATAAAAATTATTTAGATAGTATTATAAAAAAAATTTAATATGCAATAAACCAATATGTTATCGAAAATTTTCATATGTGTGAATAAGGATGGGTAAGCAGAGTGTATAAATTATGATTCAATGTTACAGGGTGATACCATATAATTATTATGCAAAGGATGCTATGAAAAAAAAAGTTTAGAAAATTCGAAAGCCCTTCACTAAGAAAAAGCATTTAACGAAGCTTAATAATAATTTAATCTCGTTTGGAATAGGATTGAAACAAAAATAAACAAGATTTCTGAATTAGTGTAATAGGCCTAAGTTTTTAGATCATAATTTCTATCATTTTTTGATCAATTTTTTTCATATCTCGACTAATGGTAAAAATCTTTAGCAAATTTAAATGAAAAGTCTAAAACAATTTATCAACTAAACAATTTCAATACAAAATTAATATAATAGCAAGAAAAATTATTTAATTCATCAAACTAGATATATATCACAAAGCTTTGCAATCGTTTCAGAGAGTTTAATTTGAATTGTTAGAGGGAATAGTAAAAATTTTCAATACTTCTTACCTAATTAATAAAAGAGACATAAAATGTAGTCCCAAATTAAATATAAAATGTAGTCTCAAATTAAATATAAAATATAGTTCCAAATTAAATATAAAATGTAGTTCCAGATTAAACATAAAATGTAGTCTCAGATTAAAAGATTGAATTGAAAATTGATTCAATAGTGCCCTAACAAGAATGTTGCTTAAATATTGCTTTTAATTCTTCAAATTCAATAATGATATCAACTCAAGTCTTCAATATTTTAACTTGGACGTTCAATATGGGAAAAATTAAAACATAATAATCTTTGATTAAGCACAAGAGTTGGGTTAATTGTATAGTTTATAGCAAGGAAAAGGAAGTATTCTTTTCAGGATCAGATGATAAAACAATAATTATTTGGCAATTATAAGAAAATGGTTGGAGAAGTTCAAAACCTTTTGAAAAACATTAAGTTAATTGTTTATTATTAAATTAAAAGGAGGACTAATTATTTTCTTGTGGGAATAATCATTAAATTATCGTATGGAAAATAAACTTAGAAATGAATGAATTAATTTATTAATATGAATTGAATAAACACAATAGTAAAGTATTCTCAATGTCATTAAATTAATCAGAATCTACACTAGTGTCTTGTGGGGATCAAAAACATGAAATAATAGTTTGGGAAAAAGGAAAGGATAATAAAATGAAGTTTAAATATTTTGTTAAGTAATAGCAATCATAAAATTATTTTGGTAAAAAGCTGTTCTTTCTATCAGAAAAAATTTTTATTTGGGTTACTGCAACTAAGGAAGTAGATAAAATATTTGTTTTTGAGATTAAAAATGAAGTTTTTCAAGAAAATTAATAAAAAACTATTGAATTAATTTAAGAAAAAGAATATGATGATATGTTTCTATTTCCAATTATTCGAGAGAAGAATTCTAATATGATTATTGTTAGACACAAAACTCATATATATTTCCTCAAAGATTTAGGTTTAGGAAAGCTAAAAATTGCTTAATAAATTAATTGTGAAACAACAAATATTTATGGAACGATAACTAATAATTTGTCACATTTATTATATTGGGATAACAAAACAGGAGGGTATAAAATTTATTAAATAAAACAAACTGAACAATTTCTTAATTTATGATTTATTAAAAAATAATTAAACAAATTGATTATATCTGTTTATTATTTTGAAAAATCTATATTTTATTTAAAAAAAATTGTTTTTACTTAACTAATTATCGATATATTATTTTTAACTAAATGTTTTAATTATATGATATTCTTTAGATTAATTATATTATTATTTTGAATAATAATTGATATATTTGATATACCTATCTAAAGGGAGTAAGTACAATTAAATTTGGGAAAATATGGTTTTTCAATAATAATTTTTATTTAAATAAGGCATTTTGGGTTAAGTCTGTATTCTTTAAATTGAGAAGACTGAAATGTAATTATATAAGGGATATCAATATCAAAATAAAAATAGTGATCTAAAAGTATTTAAATTACTATATAAATTAAACAAAATGAAATTAGGTCGATATTGACAATCTAATAAAATCTACAATATGATTTAACAAAGATAATATTAAAATATGAGTGATTAATCAAGTAAAATTAGTCAGTTCTCACAAAGAACTTAATAATTATTTTCAAAGAGTTTTATAATTAGTTGAATATCCTCCATAAGATTTCATATGGAGAAGAGGGGATATTTTAAAAAAGCTTCTGTATCACTTTATTCAAAAAGGTGAAATTAAAATTTTAGGGTAAAATTAAAAAAATGAATATAGCAGACTTTTGGTTTTTAATAGTTTGTATTTACCTCCAAGACTTCAGCTAAAAATTAGATTTACGAAGATTGCTATTTAATAAATTATTTTTATACAATAAACAGTTCTAGAAGTTTTACAATTTAATAGAAATAATTTTGACACTTTTCATCACATTAAAGACTCTTTGAATAAATGATAGAATTATGATTTAAGCTGTCAATTTTATTCCTCCATTTATTAAGAGATCGATTTTCCAGTTCTCATTCTTCCTTGTATAATTATGATTTAAAGAAGATATAAAAAATCGTTTTAAATGATGAAGATCCTGAATAATTTCATTTTATCCATGACTAAAAGTTTTGAAATTAGAGAATTTTTTAGAAAAAAAAGTTTATTAAGCTAAATGTATTTTTTGACAGCTCAAAATTTCATCATCACAATTTAATGTGATCAAAGTAAGTCATTTTAGAATTACTTTTCTTCAGGAATGGTTAATTTGTAATTTAAAAATTAGTTAAAACTTGATTTAAAATACAATTAAAGGTCTTAAGGCTTTTCTATAAGTTATTAGAAACTCCAGAATTGAAGATAATTAATTTGGAAAATTTCGAAATTATCGAATGACATTTATTCAAATATATATTTAAATATTATATGAAGTAATAGGTGTATATTCTTTTCAGATCAATTATTCTTCAAATACACGAATTAGTTTAGTTTCTAAAAAGTCCATTTTTAAGATATACTCAAGCTGTCACATTTTCCGATTATAAAAATGAAAAAGCATGGGGGTTAACAAAAATAATAAATAATAAATGATTATATGCTAATCTATTATAATGAGAACTAATTAGAGATATTATTAAAGTTTAAGCTGTAAAAATCTATTATTGGCCAATATTTCTAAGTTAAAATAGACTAAGAAACATACTAAAATGAGCGAAGCTGTTAATAATAAACACACTACTTTAAAGGATCTGTAAATCAACATTATCTCAAAGTATAGATGTGGTTAAACTTAATATTCTATGATTAACTCAGCTTGTATTCTTTATTAAGAAAATAGAATTCTTGCAACAAACCTGGTTATTGAAATGGAAGATAAAAAATAATCAATTAATTTTTAGATTGATGATTTTTTAAATCATGAAATCAAATTCTTTTTATCAAATTTAGTGGATGTTAAATATTGTAAACCAAGTTACTTGATAAGCTCCTTGCTGTTATGCGATCCATTGTTGGAAAACGAAGAATAAGGGGTTTGTTTAACGATATCTATTTTTTCTTCAAGTAGTTCAAAGGATAACTTCATTTCCCTTGGGATATTGACTATATCACAATTATAGTAATCATCAATAAATTTTAAAGGCACATCTTTCAAATAACTTACCCTTTCATGTGCTCCTGAAAATTAACAAATCTTTTTCCAAAACCATTGAAATAAATTAAATCTTCATAGTTACTGCCTCTTTGGCATTTTAGCATAGCGTGAATAAACGGAGATTTTTAATTATCCATTTTTATTACCAAATGAAAATTAATATAGAGAAAATATAAATTTCCTTCTTAAACCTTCTAATTCTATTAAATGAATATAATTTATGATTAATTTGGTATTGTAATTAAAATAAAGATATGTTTTATTAAAATTTTTATTTACTATTTTTTCATAACCATATGAGCGATGTTTTGATTTCTGTGCTTAGACTTATACCCTATATCGATGATTTGAACAGATTCATAAATTAAAAAGTGAAAACCTTCATGTCCCAAGGACTCCTCATCTTGATGTAATGACTTTTAGGCTTACATCCTCAACAGATCACTCTGTTTTGATATAGCCAGATATGAAAGACAGGCTGATTTTTCCAAATCATTCTTAATGGCAAGCTCATCGTGATGTAAGTGTTGCATATAGAAATATTATTTGTTTTATGGTCCTTCTATTGATTAAGAGTATGGCAAAAGAGTAGTCGTGAGAGGTAAAAAATTACCAGGTTCATAGCCTTCAAGTTGTCATGGGTGTTTGAATATGTCTCTTCTTTTTGCCAATTTCTTTACTAGAATAGAAAGGAGAAGAAGCTATTAAAGTTGCTAAAAAAGGATCCTAATTGCGTAATGATTCTTTAGTCTTAAGATCATGTAAGAGGAATAGGCAAAATTATATTTAAAAAATAAAATCTATCGAAGATAATTAATTGAATTTAAAGTATTAGTTAAGATCTCAAAAATGTCAGAATGTTTCTTTAAATATTAGAAATAAATAATTGGAAATCAATTTTAAAATATCAAACACATAAAGAAGTTAGTATAATACTAGTATAAGGGTTTTTAAATTAATATAGTACTTGTTCATAAAGTTGTGGAAATCGTTTCTCAAATATAACTACATTTATTTTGAATAGAAATCCCAAGAAATTGGTATTTTTTGCTCCCATTAAGGATAGAATAGAAATCAAGTTCCAAAGATTGATCCCAAAATCATCATCGCGTTACAAATTTATGTGAATATTCTTAAAAGATAAAACTGCTAATGAAATGATCGAAATTCTTCTATAAGAAGAAGTCAGAAAATAGTATGTAGTTCTTTAGCTTTATGAGGAATTTGCACTGTTCAATAACACTGCCTTTGATAATAATAAACTATCAAGTTTTCTATTATGAAAAGAATAATTTTGGATGAATCCTGTTAAATTAGTGTATTTTGAAAAGAGAATTACATTACTCTAATTAAAAAAATTATTTGAGATTTTATTAAAGCATCAATTGAATATACTTCTATTTTATAATTTTTAATTCTCTAAATGATTATAAGTCACTTTTTCTTAATTTTTTGTTGACTAATATTTATATTAGATTTAAAAAAAAGTGATAAATTTAAAATCAATTTCGATTAAAATTATTGAATGATTTGAAATCTGCTTTATTATGAGGAGCATCCTTACAATACTATTGAAGGATTTTCAAATACAAAATATATGAAATAAATTTATTGAATTCATATAACCTAATATATTCAAAAAAGAATTTATTTGTATTAATACTTGAAAGATCCTAATATTTTAACATTAAACCATTTTGGGATTTAATTAACATTAAAGAAATTTTAGACATTAAAAAGCAAAAGATGACAAATTTCAAAAACTAATAAATGAAAATTTAGATTTTTCAAGTGCTGCTCGGCGCCGATTTCGACTGAAGTGTCAAACTTAAAAAGCTCAAATATTATGCCACTTAAATTTTGTGCTAATATGGTTTTTCTTATTTAGAAGTCTCACATACATCAGATATCAGGAACCAACCTCGACATAAGGTGAGTGAAAGTTCCATGCTAGTCGGATTATTTAGATATTTTTAGTAGAGGATTAAAGTTAATTAAGTCAATTAACCTATAGAGATAAAAACTCAATTGGAAGTTCTTGTGACTCTAGAGGTTACTAGTTGAAGCCATCTATCTAGCCGAGCTGCTATTTAAGAGACTACTGTTGGGTAACTTATTATTTATGAGATTACTACAATCAAGGAATAGAAGAATTATAGATAAATTATTATCTAGCTTATACTGGTATTTTGTGAATATGTCGTTGATATGAAATCAATTTTTCAAATAAATGAAACTTGTTTGATAAGATTTTGTATTTTTAGGAGGTTCTAGAGCTACTTATGAAAAATCTAAATAAATTCTCAAATTCTAATTTTACAAAAAACCTAAATGAATTAAAATTTGTACAAATAAATTAATAATCCATCATCCAAATATTTCTATTTATTTTTAAATAATTAAAATAATTATCTTAAATATTTAGTCCTTAAGCTGATGAAGATAGTCTAGTTAGGGAATTTAACAAAGAATTAGCCCTAGACGATCAGATTTATAATGAAGTTGGAATTATTGTAATCATTCATTTTTTAAGATGGGGGCATAATATTATCTTTATAAGCATGCAGAGACAATAACTCTTAACTATTAATGAAGCTTATGCATTTGGACTTGATTTTAGACTTCTAAACTAAGGAAATGGGAGGACCAAACTTATTATATAATTTGGAGATGATGAATATTATGGATAAGCGATACAAATATTTAGCTGGGAAAAGACTGCATGTAGATATAAGCTGAGACAAGATGGTTAATGCTCTCTTACAATAAGGATGTAATGATAAGGATTAAACGATAAAAAAATTTGAAGGATATTGAGTGAATGAAGAATTATTTTTTATGATGCAAGCCAATTAAATTAAAAGCTTACAAAGATAATATTTTAAATGACAAATTTTAGGATCTTCTCTAGAAATCGAATAATCTTGGATAATCGAGATAGAAGATACCTGCCAAGATCAAGAATTCTTTGATGTTTATTATCTAAATTTTTGTAATGTCACTTCTAAACCTTTTATAAAAACCTTTCAAGATCTTTCTTCTTAAAAATCTAATAATTTTAAATTAGATCAATATTAATAATTGAGAAATTCATCAGTTGTTTATACAGTTTTTTTGGGATAAAATTTATAGCATTTATAATCTAGCCAATATAGCCTTGAGTTATTTTAGGAAACTTGTGAGTAAAGAGAGGTATAATTTTATGATATTCTATTAGGATTATGATTATGTTCCTATGTTTTGAAATTTGTGGGTTTTTTAAGAGTGAGCCTTCTATTTCTTAAAAGATGATGTTATCAATTTCAGAGAGAATTTTAGGGTGTTTGTTTAGTCTTATGACAAGTTAAATATTTATTAACTTTTATTGGTGACAACGAATAATTTTGATCAATTAGAATCTATTAAAGCTTTGAAAGAACTTCATAATTAGTCAAAATCTGTTTTTGATACCCATATTTCATCATACTTGCTAACATCACTCATTATGTAGTTTAATTTTTACCTATCATACTGAGTAGTTGATTAAAATTCCTTTAAACTTATTTTAGTTAGATGATCGATTCTAGTCATCCTTTAGCTAATTACGAGGTGATATTTGTAAATAAGTTGAATAATAAATGAAAAAATTTCTAATTAAAAAACATATCAATATTAGGTTAACCAATTTACAACAAATTTATTTGAAATATTATCATAATCTTGTAACCTTGCTAATTGTAACGAATTACTAAGTAATAAATTAGCAGATCTAAAAGATGATCTCTGTCTATAATCCTTAACTAAAACAAGTTTTATTCAAATATTATACAATATAAAAATTGTTGTTTATGTAGCAAATAAAAAAAAAGAATTTATTCTTATCTATTAGTTAAATTCTAGTAAGTTTCATTTCATAAACTATTAGTATCATAACTAGATTTAATCATAAATTAATTACTTAATTGTTGTACCTTGAATTTAGAATTTAAAGAAAATAGTTATAAAATTACTGTTTTATTTGAATAGGTATTAAACAACTAGCAATTTGCTAAAATGACAATAGACTATTTTACATAAATTAGCAGCCCCTTTTAACATAAATTAACAATTTACTTTCATTAAGTTTTTATTTAGATTGATTACCTTAAGTAAATGCTTATATTCCTAAAAATGTTTCAATATAAAATTTTTTGTTTGATAAAGAATAAAAAAATTTGTGATCATTAAACTATTTAAGGTTTTAGTTTTTTCAAAATATATATCCTTTCATTTTAACAAATGAAAAGAGCTTTAGAAAAAGGGCAGAAAAATTATCAAAAAGATTTTAGAAATCAAAATAACTTAAATTATTAAGTATTGATTGCTTAGTAGATTTCTCAATACNGCCAATATAGCCTTGAGTTATTTTAGGAAACTTGTGAGTAAAGAGAGGTATAATTTTATGATATTCTATTAGGATTATGATTATGTTCCTATGTTTTGAAATTTGTGGGTTTTTTAAGAGTGAGCCTTCTATTTCTTAAAAGATGATGTTATCAATTTCAGAGAGAATTTTAGGGTGTTTGTTTAGTCTTATGACAAGTTAAATATTTATTAACTTTTATTGGTGACAACGAATAATTTTGATCAATTAGAATCTATTAAAGCTTTGAAAGAACTTCATAATTAGTCAAAATCTGTTTTTGATACCCATATTTCATCATACTTGCTAACATCACTCATTATGTAGTTTAATTTTTACCTATCATACTGAGTAGTTGATTAAAATTCCTTTAAACTTATTTTAGTTAGATGATCGATTCTAGTCATCCTTTAGCTAATTACGAGGTGATATTTGTAAATAAGTTGAATAATAAATGAAAAAATTTCTAATTAAAAAACATATCAATATTAGGTTAACCAATTTACAACAAATTTATTTGAAATATTATCATAATCTTGTAACCTTGCTAATTGTAACGAATTACTAAGTAATAAATTAGCAGATCTAAAAGATGATCTCTGTCTATAATCCTTAACTAAAACAAGTTTTATTCAAATATTATACAATATAAAAATTGTTGTTTATGTAGCAAATAAAAAAAAAGAATTTATTCTTATCTATTAGTTAAATTCTAGTAAGTTTCATTTCATAAACTATTAGTATCATAACTAGATTTAATCATAAATTAATTACTTAATTGTTGTACCTTGAATTTAGAATTTAAAGAAAATAGTTATAAAATTACTGTTTTATTTGAATAGGTATTAAACAACTAGCAATTTGCTAAAATGACAATAGACTATTTTACATAAATTAGCAGCCCCTTTTAACATAAATTAACAATTTACTTTCATTAAGTTTTTATTTAGATTGATTACCTTAAGTAAATGCTTATATTCCTAAAAATGTTTCAATATAAAATTTTTTGTTTGATAAAGAATAAAAAAATTTGTGATCATTAAACTATTTAAGGTTTTAGTTTTTTCAAAATATATATCCTTTCATTTTAACAAATGAAAAGAGCTTTAGAAAAAGGGCAGAAAAATTATCAAAAAGATTTTAGAAATCAAAATAACTTAAATTATTAAGTATTGATTGCTTAGTAGATTTCTCAATACACTAGAAACTGAATGTTTTATATTTCTAATAAAATGGGCACATATTAGGATAACAATAATACATAATATTTTTTTGGTTGGCAATATTTTTGCTTACCATTAGACTCTTCAAGTTATACCAATAGAAAAAAAGTACAGCAATTTAACAAAAAAACAATTATAAAAACAATAGAGGAATTCGAACTGATAAATTGAAAAGTTTTCAATTTATCAGCAGATTTTAACCTATACAAATAGAAAGAAAATAGTTTAATAGGAATAAATGAGCCTTAAAATAAAATATTACTTTAAACTTGTCAAATGAATTTTCAAAGATTCAATAATATTTGAACTTTTTGATCACATCAAGCTCATCTTCAAAGGATTACACAGAAGAAATTTATCAAGTAGCTTAGTTTATTTAATTTTAGGCTATTTTAAATCAATTTATATAGGAGAAAAGGTAGAGACCAAACTTTCTAAAAAAATAGAAGATTGGCAATTTTTTTTTTGATTCTTCTTAAAACTAGTTACATAATAATCTAATCTAAAACTTTAATAAGAATTATTTTTTTTAATTATAAATAGTAAAAATAGCAATCATAAACCTTTGAAAATAGCAAATATTTTCAATTTTTAATTACTTATTTTAAATCCACTTTATAAATTAAATTATTAATGAAGTAAAAGATTAAATCTTTTCTAATAATATTCTAAATTTGCCTTTTTACTGTGAATGCCTAGTAAAAAGGATGCTGTATTAATAATCTTTTAATTTTAGCTTCAAAAGTAGATCAATTATAAATAAATCTTCGTGATCACCTATTTGAGGGAGAAGATCTTAATTATGATTTAAAAGAAGAATATTTAAAATAGTCAATCCGGTTGCAATACAGGGAACAGCTCAATTCATGTGACTTGTATTTTTAAATTTAATTCATTTAGCTGCAACTAATATCAGATAGGTAAAAGCTTTTCGCTCCAGGTAAACTTAATAATGGATGAATTGTTTGTCTTTTTAGACCAAAGTAAGACAGAAGAGTCAATTTTTTTTCAGAAGGGTATTAGTCTATGTAGAATATAAGATAAAATTCCAACTTCGGATTTCAAAAATATGGTGAAAATTGCACCAGTGAGTAATGGTCTATAGTGTTTCGATGTAGAATACATTTAAAACAATAAATTCATAATTGATTGCTAAAAGGAAGTGATTGATAATTAAATTACAAAAAAAACTGATGTATTTTATCTCTACTCGAAATAAACAAAAGATATAACTTTTTTTGAAGATGAAGCATTCATCAAATTATACAACTAAAGATATATAGGGTTGTATTACTAAAAAAGTGAATTAGGAAATGAAACAACTTAAATTGTTAGAGTTACACTAAGTTATTCTTTGAAACCTAAAGAAAAACCTTATTAAAATCCAATTGTGTAAACTTATATATTGAGTTAAATGATTAAACTCTACTTACAAACTATCTTTTAGATGATGTCGACTCTGTAATTTTGTTTAGAAGAAGTGATCTTAAATTTAATATAGTGGATTTCAAGATTTCTTATAATGGATTCATTTACTTACTAGACTTCTTACAGGGTCTGGTGGTGGTCAAATTATTGTAAACAGGGGAATGGAATTTAGTTCATAAATTTTATGAATTTGAAAGAAAAGAAATATTATTTGCCTTCGATCATAGTCAAGAAGAGAAATTGAACTACTCTGAAGATGGTATGATTGTATTTCTTTAATAAAACAGCTTTTCTGTTTCATATAAAATTTTTTATGGTACTCAATAACTGCCATTTATCCAATTAGATTATCCAAGCAGTATTAAAATATCTCAGGATAATATTATAGTAAGAAATGATAAAAAGGCTTATTTTTATAAATATGATTTTGAAAATCATAGATTCTACCTTAATTCTTAATTAAATATAAATTCCACTGATATCTTATTAGTGAATGAATTTGAATCAGATTTTATCCTACTAAATACCATAAACTCATATAGATATACATTTTCTAATGGATATCTATATTTTCCTGGAAGCGATAAGCTTTAAGAAAAGAAAGTCATTGTTATTAAAGTCAAAGCTCCAAATAATCAATAATGTGTAGTTTCCCTAACATATTAAATTATCGAAGATAATGAAAGTTGGATTTATAGGCTAGATGATCAATCCATGCCTTTTCCAAAATCGATTGCAGAAGGCCAAGCTCAATCGATAATGAAAAAATAGGCCTCAGGACGTAATCTTTAATATAAATTAACTAAACCAGTATAAATTGGAGGTACAGAAATTACCACTTCTATAAGAAAAAGAGTAGAACTAATTTAAAGTCCTACTTAGCCAAAAAATGTGATCTTTGCTTAAATGATTTCAACTTAAGATGGTAGAATCGTCTATTAATTTTTGTAAACTGAAGATTTGGCACTTCAACTTCTAAGATGCATTTATTCTCCAATTTACAAGGATACAAACTAATGTGAAGTTTTTGTTTAGAATTTAGATATTTCATCTAGATTAACCAGATACAATTGTTAAATTTGGCTATCTAATTATAAATTTTATTTAATGTACGTAGACACAGATTATAGTGTTTAGATTTTAGGTCTTAGTTAAGACAATTAACCTTTTTACAATTTAAAAACAATAAAATTAGATTCTACAGACATCAAATTAAATTTTAAGTATTTTTTAATACATGGATTATCTTTTAATTCATACAGCTAATAAGGATATTTTTACATTCTTTATTTACAGACCTGAGCTTTCCGTATAAGCAACTTTAAAAAAAAATTCATTTTAATAATATGATTATGAAGATTGGGAACCAAAAGCATTTTTCACAAATAAAAAATTAAACCCAAATATTCTTTTTATTTAATATAAAAAGAATATTCTAATTTTAGACTCAAATTTTACTTTGTTTTCATTCATTAACACCATAAAAATTACTCCAAAATTAGATTATTCAATTTCTATAGGAAAAGTCACATTTTTTGTTGTCCAAGGCAAATCATCTAATGATGCAAAAGATGCTTAAATCTATGAATACAACTTTGCAGATATAGATCATGTCTATTTGCAGAAGAAATTATACTTTTGTTGGTATGATATTTCTACTCCTTTAAATGCTGACTTTAATGAAGAAACTGGTCATTTGTTTGTTAGAGGTGTCTGTCTATACAGTAGTAAATCTTTTTTCTTAGTCGTCAAACCTAATACTCCTCAACATGAAGCCTTGGACCGAGCTTGGGATATTGCTGATGCACTTATTTCTGACTAAAAATAAATATTAATTGCTTCATGTGGATTACATTAAACTTATTTGTATTTAAAAGTTGAAGGAGAAGAAAAACTCTATGCACTTTACAATGAAGCTATAATGATTGTTAACTCCAAAATCAAATAAGATATTTATTCAGATTTCTTTTCATTAAATTTATAGATAAATAATTATAACTTCTAAGGTAAGCCTGAGAAATTTAACACTTTAAATATTTCTTAATAAGTGAAAATCTTCTCTACTTTAAATAAATTACATTCAATAAGAATGACTTCCCTTTTTCATAATCTGGTTTAAAAATATTATCAATTTATGATATTCAAACTATTAGGTTGGGTAACGAATGGTATTCTGGATAAATTGGAAATTTTACAATTGATTGTGAATAATGCTAAACCAATATTCAATTGTAAACCGCCATTTATCCAATCAATCAAGAAACCTTTAAAAATTTGAATTTAGAGATAGAATGCACTTATTTTAATAACGGATTTTTTGCATTTGGGATAATGTTCTTCATCGGAATAGTTAAGCTAGAGGAGGAATGGAGATTTGAATAATTTTCTTAAATAGATCTACATACTTATAAATGAGAAATTAATAACTCCTTTACAGGATTTGTAGCCAACTGATTTTTCAGTTGCCAGATAAAAAGATTGTGGGAATAATTAATACTCTTATAAACTGATTATTAGCAATTCATGTAATGGATTTATTTTTTTAGATTTCTTTATTTCAGATGTGTATGAATTTCAATATTTGTCAATTGAAACACTAGATCTTCATGATTATTTAAATAATTAAGTTGAATAATACAGACTCTCAACAACTAAATTTCTAACGTTTCATTTTTTTGGGAACCAACTTATGATTAGATTTCAGATTCTTTGAAGATATCTCTCATAATTTTGACTTCTGATGTTTCACAATATGGCTTTAAATTTGAATTTACTGCTCATTCTACAGTTAACACACTCCTTACTTCTAAAGCTTTGTCAGCTGCTATTTTCAGATATGGAAATTTAAGTGTAATGAATAAGTTAGCAATCCATGATGTCTACAAATCATTAGTTATACCTTACAGAGACTAAAATTTCATTTATGTTTGTGTTTATAATTTAGATTTAGATTCTTCTTCTCTTATTTCTACTGTTATTATTGGTCGCATTATTTTATCAAATGGAAAAGATTAGGAGGAGAGCCCAATACAACTAGGTTTGTTTTTTGCTAAAAAAGATAATTTTTTTTCTCATAAATAGAAAATCCCCCATAAATTTATGGAATCTAAAAATCGCCAATTCTTGTATTTAATAATCAATTAAAAGCTTTACGGAGCTAAAAAATCACATAAATAGCTTATAATGATTTTCATGAGGAGAGAANTGAAGCTATAATGATTGTTAACTCCAAAATCAAATAAGATATTTATTCAGATTTCTTTTCATTAAATTTATAGATAAATAATTATAACTTCTAAGGTAAGCCTGAGAAATTTAACACTTTAAATATTTCTTAATAAGTGAAAATCTTCTCTACTTTAAATAAATTACATTCAATAAGAATGACTTCCCTTTTTCATAATCTGGTTTAAAAATATTATCAATTTATGATATTCAAACTATTAGGTTGGGTAACGAATGGTATTCTGGATAAATTGGAAATTTTACAATTGATTGTGAATAATGCTAAACCAATATTCAATTGTAAACCGCCATTTATCCAATCAATCAAGAAACCTTTAAAAATTTGAATTTAGAGATAGAATGCACTTATTTTAATAACGGATTTTTTGCATTTGGGATAATGTTCTTCATCGGAATAGTTAAGCTAGAGGAGGAATGGAGATTTGAATAATTTTCTTAAATAGATCTACATACTTATAAATGAGAAATTAATAACTCCTTTACAGGATTTGTAGCCAACTGATTTTTCAGTTGCCAGATAAAAAGATTGTGGGAATAATTAATACTCTTATAAACTGATTATTAGCAATTCATGTAATGGATTTATTTTTTTAGATTTCTTTATTTCAGATGTGTATGAATTTCAATATTTGTCAATTGAAACACTAGATCTTCATGATTATTTAAATAATTAAGTTGAATAATACAGACTCTCAACAACTAAATTTCTAACGTTTCATTTTTTTGGGAACCAACTTATGATTAGATTTCAGATTCTTTGAAGATATCTCTCATAATTTTGACTTCTGATGTTTCACAATATGGCTTTAAATTTGAATTTACTGCTCATTCTACAGTTAACACACTCCTTACTTCTAAAGCTTTGTCAGCTGCTATTTTCAGATATGGAAATTTAAGTGTAATGAATAAGTTAGCAATCCATGATGTCTACAAATCATTAGTTATACCTTACAGAGACTAAAATTTCATTTATGTTTGTGTTTATAATTTAGATTTAGATTCTTCTTCTCTTATTTCTACTGTTATTATTGGTCGCATTATTTTATCAAATGGAAAAGATTAGGAGGAGAGCCCAATACAACTAGGTTTGTTTTTTGCTAAAAAAGATAATTTTTTTTCTCATAAATAGAAAATCCCCCATAAATTTATGGAATCTAAAAATCGCCAATTCTTGTATTTAATAATCAATTAAAAGCTTTACGGAGCTAAAAAATCACATAAATAGCTTATAATGATTTTCATGAGGAGAGAATACAATTCAAATTGATTGTAAAAATAGTCAATTAATATGACTGTATTGCTGAAATTAACAATGTACAGATTTATCCTACTGCTGATGAATTCTTATAATGGTAAGTATCATAAAATTTATTTGATATTGTTTCTCTTAGATATAGTTTAGAACAAGAATAATCCGATTTTTCATTTGTTTAATAAATTTAATAAATTGGAGAATCAATAAATCATTTCTAAAGTAAAATTTAAAAATAAATAAAATTAGCTGCAACATATATAATATCTTCAAAAGCAAAGCTAACCAAAAATAGATTATGGTCAAATTAATTTGGATTTCTAAATAAAAATGGTTCTAAATGTTCCATTTTTTTTACAAATAAGTGAGTTAAAAAATTTATATTAGTACCAACATATATGGCCCTGCGTCATTAAATTAAGTTTTTGATATCGAAATGCCTGAGAGAAATGCTGATTGCATTGATTTTGTTTTATTGTCAACTAATACTTTTATTACTGATTTACAATACTTAAATTAACTTTGATATCAAGTAAAGTCATTAAGTGATTAAATCAATATGAGATTAGAAAGGATTTAAGTTTGAGCTTTGGATAAAGTGACAAACTTGAAAACCAAACCTTAACAATAACCTTTTCTAATGATTACAGATCTATTTCTAAATAAACTAAATTAAATATCAAACCAGATAATGAAGGATCAAGTTTTAAAGCTTGGTAGATAATACTAATTTTAGTTGGATGCTTATTTTTTGTTTTTTAGGATTTCTTTGTTATAAAAAGACGAGAAATGAGGAAGAAGTTTAGGAAACAAGGCTAATACATATTAATTGAGAAAATCATTTACAAAATTATTGTAACATTAATTTATTTGTTTATAATATTCTAAATATACTGTTTTCGCCAAATATTAATTAAGATTCACTCATAATTAAAAAGAATGAATTTTTAATTGATAAACACCTTTTCAGTAAATTCATTTTTATGCTTAAGTTCTAAGATCTGACTGAGATTAATTGCTACCAAAATAATCTGATTGAAGTTCGAACACATCATAAATTTATGATGTGAGATAATATACAGTTATCATTTGAAAGTATAAAAAAATACCAAAAAAAAAGTTTACTATGGTCTAAATATAAATATATTGAGTCTTCAATCGAGAAATGGTGTTTATTATGAAATAAAATATATTTGTTGCATCCTAGTTTTATTTTTATTTATCAGAGTATTTTGAAGAATTACATATAACTTATTTGATGACAGTTAAAACTGTAGTTATTCTTTGTAATGTCCCTTTCT